ACCCATAAAAAAGAAGGTAACTGTAATTATTATAATTATTGATGTTAGAACGACATTGGTCGTCTATTTGTAATAAACATATTTTGGTCGATTTTGTGATTTGGAATAAACTTTGGTATCTACTTTGGAATTTCCTTTTGGTTTAATATTTGGAATCGTGAATTGCAAATAGATCGACAACTGTGCTTCTAAAGATCAACGAGCAAAAAACTGGACGTAACAAAAGTTCTATTTTATTTTTGTCATAAACTGGATTCTTTTGGGCGGTTTGGGTCCAGACGCTCTTCAAATCAAATTTTGGTCGTTGGAAACTTTTGGACATTTGGGTCCAAAAGTTCTTCTATTTTATTTTTGTCATAAACTGGTTTCTTTTGGGCGGTTTGGGTCCAGACGCTCTTCAAATCAAATTTTGGTCGTTGGAAACTATTGGAAATTTGGATCAAAAGTTCTTCTAACTTTAAATTTGGTCGTTGGATAATTTGGACACTTCAGTTTTGATTCTTTGGACATACTTTCGATACTTGTGGACAATTTTGTCATTATTGGTCGAATACGTCTGGATTAATTCGCATTTGCTTGGTAACCGATTTTCGAACAAAGGCACACAATGGAAACCAGAAGCAAAAAGCCGAAGGAAAATGACGAGATGGATGTTAAAGATTCTAAAGCTGTCTGTAGTATGTCTGATTTTAATGATGATAAACGTGACGATATTAGTGTTAATAGTAAGTCCTCAGCTCAGTTTAGTACTTCTAGATTGAGGTTAGATGAGGCATTACTAAAGGAGAAGAACTCGGAAAGGAGACTTGAGTTAGAAAGGCAGCTTAAAATGTTAGATCTTCAAGAGGAGGTTGATGTGGCCGAATTAGAATGTAAGGTCATAGAAAACGATAACCGACTGTCAGTAGACAAATCTGAGATAAATGCTAAGGTGGAAAGGTACTTGGACTGTGATATTGCGCGTAATAAGGTAATTAACACCTCAAAATGCGATTGTATTGATGAATTAAAGGATACGTTACCTACTATGGTCAATAATACGGTTTTGCCTAAGATCGATATGATGTTGTTTGACGGACAACCAAGCCAGTACCACCGTTTTGTTAGTCAGTTTACAAGCATTATAGAGAGTAAACTGTCTGACAAGTGCCAGTTGTTGTCATATTTGTCGTACTATTGTAAAGGAAAGGCCAGAATGGCTATTGAAGCTTGTATTTCCTTGCCCAGTCACTTGGGTTACGATAGAGCTAAGCAAATTTTGTATGATCTGTTTGGTAAAGAACATCTTGTCGCTCGTAATCTTATTACCGAATTACTTAGCCACAAATCTGTTGAAGGATCCGCCGATGGCCTAACTGACTTCGCAATTGAGCTACGTATTGTATGTATAACATTGAAGGAAATAGGGTATACGTCTGATGTGAATTCTACGGCTAATCTGGAAATAATTAATAATAATAATAATAATAATAATAATAATTTATTCTCAAATTGTGTCACGTTTACCCCTAGAATTACAGAATAAATGGGTGGAAGCTGCTGATAGGATCATGATGACCGGTAGAGAGCCGATATTTGAAGAATTAGTGATGTTTGTAGAAGAAAGAGCCAGGATCACGTTTTGGTAGATTGGTACATTGTAACTCAAGGTTCCGTAAAGGTAATTATGAAGGCCATGCTGACAGGAGATCACACTTTAATGTAGTTAAGCGGGAACCAAGCAACTCATTCAAGGCTTTAAGTTGCGAAATTTGTTTTGGTGATCACAATGAGAAAGATTCTATGAAGTTATCAAAAATGAATGTTACAGAGAGGAGGCAGGAAGTGAGAAAGCGTGGTCTATGTTACCTGTGTTTAAGGAAGGGTCACATAGCCAAGTCGTGTAACTCGGACACAAGGATGTGACAAGCAAATTAATGAATTTTTATGTGAGCTGGGACACTACTCGTATGCTCAAACCGAAACAGGTAGTTTTACTAGGAACTACTCCCCGAGCTCTTGACTTAGAAGTCTAATCCACAAAGGAGTGAAGTAACGTTAGAGGATGCAGTCCCATGGTAGCTGGTAACTTTACGTAGAAGACACTAGTTGGCCACAATATGCTATAGTAAATCGATATAACTACAATTATTCACTGGATTCCTAATGTAAATCCCGATAGTATGGAATTCAAAGAAAAGACGATTCTAGATGAAGATCTATGTTTATTGCTAGCCTCGTGATATCGAAATAATATCGAGGTATCGAGAAGGTACACAAGCGGCTGAGAAACAGCTAGGATAAGAGCGGAGAGGGAATAACACGCTTGGCTCGCGAGAGATAGTGGTTAGTACAGATAAACAAAAGGAGTACAATATGACAGTTATTGTTAGAATTAAGTACAATAAAAAATGTTTATATTTCAGCAATTGTGTTTTCGTAAGTTGTGTACCACTACAAGCTGATCATCGATGCTTCCAAAGCGTTTTTCGCATTTGTTGGAACAATCGAGTGGGCAACACTGAGGTTATCAAACAAAGATGATAAACTGGTTAGCAAGCCTGAGACGGTTGGGGTATGTATTACATATGCAAAACAACCGCCTAACTCGGCCAAAGTAGGAACGGACTAGAAAAGAACCAGGAGAAGCCAATCCAAAGTAGCCTACCAGTCCATAAAGTCAATGTCCGTCAGACTGACCCATAGCATTAGGTTCAGACTATCTAGTTCTAGTTTGTGCGTTAACTGATAGAGTGAGAGCTCTTGGTAAACTGTCATCCGAATTCATTTCTTCAAGTGGTGTCCGTCAGGGCTGTCCACTCTTGTTGTAGAAACGCTTTTAGAGTTAACATAATTATCTTCTGACTCTTCAGGAGTGAACCTTTCACCAGGAGACATACTTGCTCACTTAGAGTATGCTGATTACATAGTCCTATTTGGTGAAGACGCTGACAAAATGCAGAGTCTTCTGATTACCCTAAGTAACAATGCAAACATGTTCGGGGTGCGGTGATCACCCTCGAAATGCAACATGTTGCTTCGAGATTGGGTTGTATCGACACGTGGACTAGTGATAGGTAGTGGAGCAGTCGAGCGTGTCGACCGCTTCACTTATCTGAGTCTCATCAGTGCTGATGGCCTGGTGACTGACGAAATCTCAGCACGGATACAGAAGGCTCGATTGGCTTTTGCCAAGTTGCGTCACTTTTGCGGCAGGCGAAATATCCGTTTGCTGATCAAAGGACGAGTGTACTGCGCATTAGTTCGCTCCATTCTACTATATGGATGCGAAACATGGCCACTTAGTGTAGAAGATAACCGTAGATTACTAGCATTCGATCATAGATGTCTTCGAAGCATTGCTCGTGTGTCGTGGAACAACCGTGTGAGCGATGCTGCCATTAGGGAACAAGTTCTAGGTAAGGATGGCAGATCCCTAGATGAAGTATTGAAACTTCATCAGTTGAGGTGGTTGGGACATGTGTTACGTATGCCCAAACACCAACTACCTCGACGATCAATGTTTTATGGTGTAGGAGTAGGTTACAAGAAATCTAGGGGTGGCCAAACCAAAACATGGCACAAATCCATGAGGTCACTGACAAGTGGACTGATTCATGTTGGTAGATGTAGACTACCTGGTTGTGGTCCGCGAGACGAAAGTCAACGATGGTTAGAGACCTTGAACGACATGGCTCAAGATCGTTTGCAATAGCTCAGGTGCATTCATTCATTGTGTTCTGTCAAATCCGAATATTCTGAATTCCTCATCATCTTTCTATTTCTAAAGTTATCTCACTGAACCGTACTTCTCGAATCATATCTTTGAACACTAATCTTCTCCATTACGGCTAGTGCTTCTTCTATCTCTACCACTATGGGGTTTGAACTGACAGTTGCGTCTCTGTGCTAATGTTGTATGATAACCTGAACTTATGTACGCACATCCGAAGTTCTACGTTGTAACTGACTGACCGTGCGCTAACCGATGTCACTTTTCGGAGACGATGGGTGACTATGGTGTTTAATACACACAGGTTAAATTCATACAACCTCATACACATTGTGTAATACAGGATCTGATGGAGTTTGTGACTATCAAACGCTTTACCTTAGATTTTCTAGCTAACATGTGTCCAGTTGAGTGATTAGCTCAACCGCCCCTCATAATATACCCTCGTTTATTTGCTTTTCTATCTATCTGTTGGTCAGATTCCATCACTGCACTGACCTAAAAATTTTTAGGACATGATGATGACTAATTGACAACCTGAACAGTTTAGACCCATTTCAATCCACTACAGATTAGACAAGTCCAATGCACCCTTGATGTATTTCACCTAAACAAAACTGCTGGAGATCCTAGTCCCAGTGTCCATATAAATCTAATGCAATTACAAAGAGGTCCAATTCCAATGTCAACCCAATAATATTATTATCTGTCCAGTTGTTTCTATCCAATCTTATCAAACTTTGATTGCTTACTACTACTGCACTTTCCAGTTAATTCAATAAGTTGGACTTTTATATTCGAGCTTATTTAATCTATTCATTTCCGGTCATCACGTTCGTGATAACGAATATAACTCTGATATAGCTCAGAATCGATCACTGACGCAGCTGCAGTCAATGTTTATTTCGCTCTACATTCTGAGCTAAAGCTAGTACGCTTTATACTGTCTCAGCCGCTGAAAAGGACTTTAATCTATTATCGATCTTGATTCGATTTCAAACAAATTCCTGGTTTGGTTCAAATTATATCGGTTATTTGTAACGTTATGGTGAAGAAAATGTTTTACTAGTAATATTTGACCTTCAATTTGAGTAATTGCTATTATCACTATTTCTATTCCACATATGGAATTCATAGGTTTAAAGAATAAATAACTTAAAATTGTGTAAAATGCTTTATTCTTTTGAAAGTGTAATGGAAGATATTTGGCTCAAATATACATTATCTACAATAATGAGTTGCAATTGTGTACGTATAAAGATAAATTACATTAAAATTACTAATTGGATCAGTCAGATAGACGATACTGTTGAAGTTTCGCTCTTTCCAACAGTATTTCCTCTGCTGATAGCTCATTTTGTTCAGTTCGACAAAGTTGATCAATGTTCCTTACAATTTCATCGGGTGTTCGTAAGGTTTTTTGGTTATTTAGAGGTTCATAAAACGGATGCCACATGCCTTGAATTGAAGGGCGTTTAGTTGACCAATATTTATTTATGGGAAAAATATCCACCCCAGAACGAGTACGTAAAAAATTGATCCAGTTAGCTATTTCTTCACAAGTCATGTCTTTGGCATGTACATAATGCCAGTTACCACACACTAAAATAATAATGGTAATAACTGGTAGATATTTAAACCTACGATACTCAGCAACCAGGAGAGGAGGTCTATTTCTTCGTGGCTTTACATAGATAACAGTTGCCGGATTATCTCGAGCGAAGTCCACTAAATGATTTTCAATAAAGTCTCTGTATATCCATTATTAATAACAATAGCATGAAGAAAATACAAAATAAATACACATTAATAATAAAGGTCACAAGTTGAAAAGTTTGGTAGTGAACAAGGTTCATTTACTAGCTACATCTATATATAAATATAGAAACCTTACGAGGAAATTGTTCTAGAAGTGATTATTAAAATATTTTTTAACCGCAAAACTTGACGACTGTTACACTCTCTCAAGTTCTTAATAGCTCTTTTAGTCGAAAGTATAAATAGTTAACTTGAAGTTCGGGGATTCCCAGTAGAGTGAACGAGTAAATTTTTGTCGACTTAAAAATCACTAGTGACTCATAAACCGAATACTTAAAGTTGAACTAATGAACTAATTAAACGGGGTAACAGTGATAGTGACTTATTGCTCATGCGGGGCTAGAGGCAATAGGCTAAACAAGAGATTCGTTTACTTTACCCACAGTATATGAAAAATGCACTTTTCATTAGGAATAATGAGGCATGATGTCACCCAACAGTAGTTTAACGATTTTAATACTTAGAGCTTAAGCCAAGAGGCTATGGACTGGGAATCTGTTCTTTGACTTTGTATTGAGATAGTATTATCTACTACCAATAACAAGTTATCCACCAGGTACTTGGGTATTGGTCACACTGAGGGTTAGTGGTACTACCTGGGTGCACAAGCCGAAGTAGGTCAAAACGTTTTATATGCCCTTAACCTCTTAACTCCACTATGATGATACATATCAACTTTTTTTCTGTTAAAGTACGTAAACTTTATGATTTTGATTTTTCTTAAGTATTGTAAGTTCAGCTGATAAGAACTTTATGAAATAAACTGTATTCATGTTTTTGTTCAATTCATAGTTTTTCCTCGCTACAAGATAACTAAGGGGACTAAATGTATAAATAAATATTTAGGATGTGAAAAGTACGTTTCAGACATTGTAGTAGTGTCATTCATCTGGTTTAAAACATTGTGCTTTAATATTTATTTTTAACCAACAAAACCATGTCATCTACATACATGAGGTTAGTGGAGAGTGAATAGTATTATGCTTAGTGGTCAATACAACTCATACTAATCAACTGGTGATAAGAGAAAATAAGGGGTTAATAACATACCTGACACCTCGACTGTCGTGTCGAAATTTACAGCACTTTAATGTTATTCGTTGCAATTGAGGTACAAATCGTGCAGTTGTAGTTCCATACACAGCATGTAGTATGGCTTTTGGTAAAACGTTACTAGACATGTACAGTGTATTTAAGATCTATTTACTGACCGTTAATTTCCAATATTGAGAATTCTTGTTTTTATGCTTGATTTGCTAAAAGGAAAGAAGGTCGATTAAAGTGTGACGTTCATCAACGAAAATATACTTGGACTCGAAAAACAGCGCACAATAAAGCAAGGATTAATCAAGCGATGACAATGGAAGTGGTGAGAACGATATAATCCTCTGATTGTACTTAAAATCGAACATATAGATAAGAATCGGATTAAAGTGTTCGTTTATCGACTGAACTATAGCATTTAGGAATACTATAACTTAGAAGAGGCAATTAAATCGCTGGCTAAATTAACGCCAACTTTGGTCCAGGTAGTCTAATTGTTAATGAATAAGTAAAAACTGTCGATGCCAGAATGTCCTGATTTTCTTTCCAGCTTTTAGATTACCACATACACTTTGCATTTGTTAATGTGCAGATGACCGCCTGCTTAAACCCACTGCCCTAAAACCGTTCAGAACAGAGCTACTCATCCTCGATTAGGTAGCACTAGTTAAAAACCTACTTTACAATTGTTACTTCGAATACACGGAAACAACACATGTGGCGTTTAAATTTGGCTGCCGTATTATGGAACGGCACTATCAGGATTTGAGTTATGCATTTGAACGGAGGATGGATTTTGTACCTAAATGTATTAAAACTACCCAGAATTTCTTCGTCTAATAACAGGAAAACAAGAGGTATGGTTCAACTTTTACCGGAAGCAGGTCGTCGATTCCCTTATTTGTTATTTTAGTACAGCTAGATACAGGAATGTAGGATTAAATATTGCATATCCCTGTGTTTGACTTGCGTTTGCGTCCCGTGATATTGTTTACCAAGTTGGTTTTTAGAGGGTTACCGAACAAACAAGCAATTTTCTTAGAACCCGAGTAAATACTGAGAATTTCCACACTAACATACAGTAAAAATTCCACATTTTGGTTAACGTTTGCCTTTTGACCAAAATTAACACAAAATTATCTACTTTTCCCCGAGCCAACCATTGTGAGATATGCAGAGTGACAAGTGTACGAAATAAACACACTACTGAGATTTATGATGAAGGGTATTGTATGCAATCAGACATAGTGCATTATAAAATCCTACGGTATATCCAACCACGAGGATCAAAAAAGCATCCCACAACACATTGCAACGCAATAGTTCGGAAAAGTTTGTAGGACTTGTTGAATGTCCAACGTCTAATACCCAATATATTTTTCATGAGCTAGTATAAACCAGACGATATTTTTGCGCTCAACTCTTGTTCTTTCAGTACGGTTCCAGGTGTCTAGTAGTGTCCAATCAAGCTACTCGGCTGCACTCATTCTAGTTAGTTGGCAGTTGTATATCGATTTGCATGTCCCATGATTGCCATGAATGCGTTTGTTTCAAAGCAGTAGGGTTTCTGGATACCAGCAGCTGTCACGTTACCAGGCCCTTGATCAGTTAGTTTCAATATAGATAATAATAAGGAGAAAATTCTAATGCTAATGAGTTCTTGCTTGACGAGCTTCCTTGTCTAGTGACGGAGAGCTACCCTTGCCTCCAATTAGGAAGAGTCGTACATTTCATAAACAAAAGAGGAATGACAGTAAATTGTGGTAAAAAACTTTCCCGAGTCCTTAATAACATATCAGGTTTCCTCTGACAGGAATCCCAAGAAGTTCGGTGGATCACCTCAGCCTGCGGCGAATCCTAAGACTTGCCTACTTATAAAGCAGAGAATGAGTGCCAGTTTGCTATGTTGTTCCTCTGACTTCTGGGTATTGTGTATTGATCTAAAAATGTTCTGGACGCTTGAGGCATGAAAACTCATTCATCCATAACACTTTTACAGCCGAAGGTCTTAAACCAGTCTAACCGGAATTCAAGAATGGGGAAAATGGAAGGAATATTTAGAGTATGAGTTGAATATTGGGAAATAAGTATTCGAAATTGACTAGTTAATGCAAGTGATGTGCGACAATTTACCCAATAGTGATCCAGTAAAGATGTGTGATTGAGCCCTTTCAGCTAAAATCAGTGAGGTCGGCATCAATACCGAAGGCTTACAGAACTACTTATTTGGGGGGTTTATTCACCACTATAGCCGCCACCTCTAACAGGGTAGTGAGAACCCTAAGTTATCACTAGTTGGAAGCTTATAGTAGTCCTAGGAAAGATAGAGCTGAATATGTGTGTTCAAATGCACTTGACTTTACTCTAGCAAGCTAAATATGCAAAAACCTGGTATAAATGCTCACGTACATCATACCGCAGCTGGAAAAGTTGCAAGGAAATGTTTCTTCTCAAAATATTGTCGCAAAAGAATGTACACACGTGAATGTAATGACAATACCTCAGTTTGTCATCAATGAAAAACAGTTTAGCAAATTGAAAAGTAAATCATTTGGTATTGTTTCTGATGCAATAAAAAGTGGAAATAGATGTAGGACATGATAAGCAAGATAAAATGGAATAAAAATTTAAAATTCCCTACACTAAGTAACCGTCCAAATACTCCAGATGGCTGCTACGCTCTAGGTCGGTTTTTAGATGCTAGTGAAGTTTCGTTGTGGTAGCTAATCATCTGAGATCTCATAGTAGTCCTGTAGTCGTGTTGCTAGATTATGAACCGGAAAAACTGAAAGAGAACAGCTCATTCATATGGATGGTATAGTTCTCAGGTCCGCGATAAATAACTTTATAGGGCCCTTCGTTTGCAGTTTCAAGGGAGTCACCGTAATGGGTTGTAATGTACGGAAACATGTGTACTGGGTTATAGGGAAGATCGGACGGAAGAGTTAGTTGGGTGCGGTCGAGTGGAAACAGGTTGAACTGAACACATTACGTTTGTACTCCTGCTCGTGTAGGAGTCTAGATCTACGTCACTTGATGAAAATGAAGGAGGAATTCTCCTTCAAGTTGAAGTATCGCATTATGAACGAGTTCGGTCTCAGTGCAGACAACATCGGCTCTCACTACATTGCGAATTTCGAGCAACACAAGTGGAAGAGCGTCAGTCCACTATGATACGCCTGCAGCCGAAAGTAAGGCTTTTAACTGTAAGCGAAATCATTCTACTAAGCTTCTAGTTCGTGAATTTTAGGTGATCGTTCGGACTTCTGTGATCCCTAGGACAGTAGCTCAGGTTTGAGTTGGCCAGTAGCAACCGAAATCTTCTGCTTATCATTTGACGAAGGTGCAGGACACTATTGTGGCAGTAATATCCTTGATAGGTGCAGCATCTGACCTTCGGGTGAAACAATGCACAAACGTTAACATTCGTTTGACCGTGGCTAGAGTAGTAGGAAATCAAAACTAATATATCTGAAGCAAGCTTCAGTTGTTGTGAAAGTGCTAAAACCACAGTTACCATGTTCAGTCACCTTGAACTGTTACAAGAGATTTATCATCACATGATTGTCCGTACCAAGCGATGTTTCGTCAGAAGTCCAATTATACGCATGGATTTCAATGATGTTTATAATCAACATTAGTAAACAGCCCCTAAAATGTGTAGAATATGAATTGATCTTGAAGCTGAAAGGGAAATCAAAATATATGTGACAATTAATTAGTGCGTATGTGTACGATATCGGTTTGAGTCATTCATCTTTGCTACTTGAATGACAAGCTTATTTAACAATTGTACACTTGTCATGACGTGACTACCTAACCCATAAGACCTTACATTAGACTCACGTCCCTGTCTACACTCATTCGTCCTGCAATTGTAGGACAGAAGGGCTGACGAGCAGGAACAGATTCATGATGCTCGAGTTGTCACTGAAGGTGTTTTACAGAAAACCTTACCAAGAGTTATGTGCTATATTTGTTTCTCCAGTTGGTGTGCCGCACTAGAGTGGTTTGTATGCAGAATACGAAGATAACGTTCGAAGAGACAGGGACCATAAGACGCTGCAGACGTAAGACGTAATGAAATTGAGCCAGGACAACAAAGGCGACCATAACAACCAAATTTGAGACCATACGTATTCGTAACCAGAACGTCGACTGCTTGCGTTCACAAGATCGTGGATGATCAGGCTAGCTTTCTCTAAGATCGACTTAAGTCGACGGTACAAATGGTCTTAGACGTGGGCTCAGGAAAAAGAAAATCAAAAAGAAACAGAAAGGTGTAACATATTGTAATGTGAGGATAATGTACTATACACTATCCATTGTTGATTGAAAGGTTATTCGCGTAGCACGGATACAGAAAGCTCGATTGGCTTTTGCCAAGTTGCGTCACTTTTGCGGCAGGCGAAATATCCGTTTGCTGATCAAAGGACGAGTGTACTGCGCATTAGTTCGCTCCATTCTACTATATGGATGCGAAACATGGCCACTTAGTGTAGAAGATAACCGTAGATTACTAGCATTCGATCATAGATGTCTTCGAAGCATTGCTCGTGTGTCGTGGAACAACCGTGTGAGCGATGCTGCCATTAGGGAACAAGTTCTAGGTAAGGATGGCAGATCCCTAGATGAAGTATTGAAACTTCATCAGTTGAGGTGGTTGGGACATGTGTTACGTATGCCCAAACACCAACTACCTCGACGATCAATGTTTTATGGTGTAGGAGTAGGTTAGAAGAAATCTAGGGGTGGCCAAACCAAAACATGGCACAAATCCATGAGGTCACTGACAAGTGGACTGATTTATGTTGGTAGATGTAGACTACCTGGTTGTGGTCCGCGAGACGAAAGTCAACGATGGTTAGAGACCTTGAACGACATGGCTCAAGATCGTTTGCAATCGCTCAGGTGCATTCATTCATTGTTTTCTCTCAAATTCTAATCTGCTCGATTCATCAACACCTATACCTCTGTCTTCCTAATCCTATCCCACTGAATTATATTTCTCGAATCATATCTTTGAACCCTAATCTTCCCCATTAGCAGTAGTTCTTCTACTATCTTTGTCACTATGGGGTTTGAACTGACAGTTGCGTCTCTGTGCTAGGGTGGTATGGTAACATGAACTGATGTA